TCCCCATGCTGGCTGGGGAATTCTGGGAGTTGAAGTCCACTCAAAGTGGCCAAGTTTGGACGACACTCTCGTAATCTCTTAGCAACCACATAGATTTTCTCCATGGCGATCTGTCCCTAACCTGGTCTTTCAGATCTTATTAAGTGAGGTGCCTGTATGATAACATATCAACACAGAAGTTGATTGCAGTACAAGTTTATAGCAGGAGAGAAAGGGTTGGATAGAATTTAAGGAACCTCAAATCTTGGACGTACACTTGACAGCTTCTTTATGCAGATTTCTACTGAAGATCCTCCAACCCACTAACAAGACTACAAGCACTTTCCTTGGCACCCATCCAATTCACTGTTCTGTCTGATGTTAAGTAAGGGCTAATCCACACTTCCTGCTTGCCCCTGTGTGAGGTTGGACCATCTACATATTGGGAGGCGTGAATGGATGAGGGTGCGTGGATACAACTTGTTGGGAAGGCAGCCTACCCCAATTTTTCTTGCTCTGCATCAACAGTGTATTTCTCCCTCAGCAGCACATGCAGGGCATTCTGCTCCATCTGCTGCACTTCATTCTCTCTCCCTCAAATGCTTCTCTTCCAATTCTGTAGCATGTGCTCCACCCCCCCACCCCCATTTCTTTGATCTTGTGTCAGGTTCAGTACAGGAAACCTGAAATACAGCCTTGCCTTCTCTTCTTTTTGCTGGGTGAAATTGATAAGAGTCTTGCCAAATTACCTCTACTAACCCAAGTGTTGTAATTCTGTTGTTTTCACCAGTCCTCAAAAGTCATACTCACAGAAGGGAAAGCAATTGGCTATTTTGCCTCTTTGTGTTTGTAAATCCCTGGGGGTAACACGTAAATGTATTGAAGGGTTTTCTTTATTCCTGTCCTTCCAATGCAGGGAAGTAATATTTGGCTGTACCCACTCTGGGATGTGGCGGCGGGAAGAGGAGGGGGCTATGGCAGCAACTAGCATGCTGTGTTGTCCAGTATGACTTATAGAGTGAAAGCGTATTCAGGCTTTGGATTATTCACCACTGATTTTTTTTTTTTTTTTGTGCCTTCGCATCAATTTTTGACTCCTCGTGACTGCTTGGACTAGTCCCTGCAGTTTTCTTGGTAAGATTTCAGAAGTGGTTTGCCATTGCCTGCTTCCTGGGGCTGAGAGAGAGGGACTGGCCCATGGTTACCCAGCTTGCTTTGTGCCTAAGACAGGACTAGAACTCACGATCTCCCAGCTTCTAGCCTGATGTCTTTAACCAGTACACCAAACTGGCTCTCTTGAAGTCACATTTAAAGAAGTCAGCCATAAATTGTAATTTTTTTTTAAAGGATCAACAGTAATAATGCAATAATGGAGCTAGCTAACATTTTGGGATGTTGTTAAAATGTTGTTTCCCAAAATGATTTATCTTATCATATTTTCTTCTAGGAAATAAAGTCTTTGCTCTCCCTCTGTGATGGAAGGTTCAGCAGTTCACAGGAACTGAGATTAAAGGTAAGAATTAGATACAGGATGAAACGTGTTTTTATTGTTTTGTGAAATGTGTATTTTACAGCCAAGCTTTAATCTTAATCATGATAAAAGTCTTAAAGTATATTCAGACCATGAACGAATATTATTCTAATTACATTGATACAATGTTTTATTTGCATAAAATCATTTGGAAAGTGTAATGTGGGAACAAACGTGGTTCCATGAAAAATGTTGACAATTGTTCAGTGCCATGAAAAAGCAGGTTAGGTCCATAAAAAGGTGTGCACTTGGATTGGGCCCTTTTTTGGATCCAAGATTTTTCTGGCCGCATGTCTGAACTTTGAGAATTGATACCTCACCCGTAAGTGACAGAGTTGGGTGACAGAATGTCCCTTATCCTTGGCAGCTGGCCCTGTCCTGGCAGTCCCGTGAGTAACCCTGGAAGTCTGGAGGACATCATCTTCCCTTGAGACTTCCTTTGAGGAGCAGGTAGGCCAAGAAAGGCAGCTACAGAGAGTAGTATTGCCTTGCCAGTGAACCATGCTTCTATCAGAGGCTGGAACAATCTAGGAACATAAAAGTCCTGAATTCCAGAATTCTATAATTGCTGCGCAGAATATGTAGATAGATTCATTCCCTGGAATGAAAATGAGCCAGTTGCTCTTTTATTCTGGCATTTATGCGACCGTACTTCAACTCCTGCAAAATACCTTGTTCCTCTGTGCCTCTATTGGAGGGAGCAATCTGTTGCCTGCATTTTCCAGCCTGCATTTTGCTGGGTCCTGGGGCACCCATAAGTGGGTGAGGTAAAATGTGGGCCTCTTTTTCTTTCCAGTTTTTGATGGAATTTCAGGGGCCACCAGTTTCATATCTGGCCCAATTTTGGGTGGGTTGGAAAATGTTAAGGCCTTAAGTACTTCACTAAAATATTTTATGAATTGACTTCCAGCTCTCTATTGGCTAAAACAAAAGGGGGGGGGAAGCAAACAAGAAAAAAGCATTGTTTCCAATGTGCGCCGGAAGTATATTTTGCTGTAGTTCATCTTCCTAACACATTTTTCAACATGTCCCCAAACTCTCCCTTGTTTCCTCTAATTTGTATCTTGACAACTCCTGCTTATATATCTTGCTGTGAGATTTAAGTAGAATTTTCCAATAAAACATAGCGCGTCTTCTGCTCTGCTTTGGTTATCAATTAATTTCTCCCTATGGAGAGTTGAAATTCTCCTCCTGGGCCTTGCTGTCCTTAGCAGCATCAGTTCAGGCCTGATATGACAGAGTTAGTAATTAAAGGAAGAGTGCCAAATAGATATTGTGATCAGCAAGATTTAAAACCTACTGTGGCAAAAGCTAGAAATAGTGTAATCTGTCCCCTTCTTCACAAACAGAAGGTATAGTTGAATGTGTAGCATCATCTGCTTTGTCTTTCTCTTCTCACATTCAACTGCTTCTGCCCCATTTGGGTCAGTGGGAGACAGTGAGGAAAACATGAATGAAAACACAAGAGGAGAAGTTAGGTAGGTGGCATAAGTGCAGCCATTAGGAAGGGAGAGGGATAAAATTGATAGGTTAAAATGGCAGCCTGTCACTTTGGTTGTGAAGGTGCATGCACAGAACTGCATCTCTCTCGTGGAGCCCATTCACTTCCAAGGCTCTGCTCTTTGAATGCTTATGTTTGCATGTAGTTGCAAACTTTTTAGTTGTGCATTCATGAATAAAGTTCAGTATGCTTTGTGATTCTAATAACATCCAGTGCCTCACAGCATGCATAATGTAACGGTAAAAAATGTAGGAGAAGTTTGAAAGGCCCTGTATGCTTTATCATATTGCATTCATAATGGGAGCAGATAGAAGTTTAGTTCCTCAATCTCAGGAACTACAGGAGTATTTTTGTTGTTGTTGTTGTAGGTTGCTGACCACTGATACAACTGAGCAGGAATACAGGCTTTAAACATTAAAAAAAAGTGGTGTTGTTATTCACAGCTGTGTAGCTTTGTTGATGCATGCTGAAAATTAGCATGAACAGTCTGATCAACTGCCCCTGTTGTCAAAAGAGGGAAGATAAAGGATAATCACAGATTTTCATGCCCCACTGTAGAAATGAAAATGGGGAAAATGTTGTAGAATGGATTATCTAGCTTTAACGAAATCTTTAAATCACCTATCTCATATAGACTCTGCTTGGCCCATCCAAGGACACAGAGAATGCCTGCTGAAGGTCCCAGCCTATTGCGATGTGCAGCAGGAGGCAGCCCAAACACACAGTTTATCCCCCTCCCCCCCCCCTCCATGCTCAGGCATGGGTAGCTTCCACTCTCTTGGCCTTCTGGAAGCTCATTAAAACTTGGTTGTTTCAGAAGGCCTTTGAGGCTTGAATGCTCTAGAGTCCCTGCTGTCAGGATTATTATATTAATTATAATAATTAGTATAATTATATGTTGCATTTCTGTTGCTATTATTGCACTGGCTGTGGCTGCTCCTTTGCAATACCACTTATAGTAGTTTTGATGGAAGCAGTTTATAAATGCTAAGACAGACAAGAAAGAAAGAAAGAGAGAGAGAGAGAGAGAGAGAGAGAGAAGAAGAAAGAAAGAAAGAAAGAAAGAAAGAAAGAAAGAAAGAAAGAAAGAAAGAAAGAAAGAAAGAAAGAAAGAAAGAAAGAAAGTTGTAGCTGCCTAAATAATGAAGTCATTGATTGCAATGCCTATTCCTTGGAATAACTGTTTTGTTTTCCTGACTTCAGAGCCCGTTTTGGATTCTTGACTTGCCTTCCGAAGAGATAGCTAGAGGACTAATGAAACGAACCGTATGTGCAAAGTAAGGATTGATGTTTGTTAAAAAAGAAAAATAACAATGAGAGAGAGAGAGAGACCCTGCTTCCCTTTTGCATTAAGGTTCCCTTTAAGTTTTCTCATCCCTTTTCTCCAGCACAGGAACAAATCTCTTTTTCTTTTTTCTGCCAGCGCTAGTAGAGCTTTGACTAGCTTATGAGTTCCAGTGTTGGACTGTCCTGCTTGATTTAGTTGCCCTGTCTAGGATGCTGTTTCAACTGTGTCAAAAGAGGCAAAATATCCATCTGTTATTGTTCCTATGCATGAGGCTAAGTGACTTCAGGTTTGTTTTCTGCTGGTATGATGTGAGATAATCTGTGCAAGGAATTTTTGTCTCACATGCTTTAATTGTATCCCTTTGTACAAATACCACTAAATGACTTGAAGTTGTACAGAAATAATGTTGGAAATTTTATTCATGTCTGCTGCAAAGCCACTTGAAGTAAATATATAATCCTCCTTATATGCAGCTTTGTAGACTTTAGAAATGCCTTTGATTCAGTCTCTGGAGATATTAAATTTTGACAAAAGTTTGCTACCACTTGTTAATAAGTTGTCTACTAACACCAGCTTGAGAATCAGATTGAGATAATCTCTTAACTTATACAGAGAGGTGCCAAATGGGCACACTTACTTTTCAACTTCTCTATTAACCCCATCACTTAAGACTTCAGATATGGTGCTACAGCTTCTGCCTCATTTGATGCAGCAAATTGCCCCAATCCTTTTGTATGCCAGTGATGCAGTGTTTCTGTCCTTTATTCAAACTAGCCTTAGGAGGGCCTTGAGGACTCTTGCAGAGTGTTGCAGAGATGGGCATCTGCAAATAAATTATTAAATAACAACCCTATGGATTTAAGATGCATAAGTGGTCTACTGATGGTCATAAGATAAAAGATGCTTCAAGTATCTCAGAATGGTATTTCACTCTTCTTGGGGTATAAAAGCCCAAACAGAACATGCAGTGCTGTTAACTTAAAGGAGCTCAGTGACTATTCAGACACATCAGTCGATCCATCGATAGATAGGTATGTGTGAAAAGTCACTGAGCTCCTTTAAGCTACCAGTATATATGTGTGTGTGTGTGTGTGTTTTGCACACAAGGGGATGGGTTAATACTTGCTGCCATTAAATTTTTTCAGTCATAGGCACAGGTTTTATATGGTGCACAACTTGCCCTTTAGTCCAATTCTAGGTTCTTTGGGTACAGACTAGGTTCCTTTGAACAAGGTTATAGTTATCTAAATGAGTTCCAAATGCAGCCTTACAACATTTGTAGAAACCAGAGCTTGGCTAGTAATTGCCAGCTCTTGGCTGAAGAATGAATTCTTCCCTGCAGATTTAGTTAAATGTGTGTTCCTTGATAACATTCAGCCTAGGTGGATGCAAGCTATAGCTCTAAAGCTTTGCTCCTTCTCTTTTTCCACTGAATTTCTACTTTCTCTGGGTTATGAGCAAACCAGAGTGGCACCAAGGCAGCAAATTCTTATCAACAAGAATTAGGCTCACAAACCAAGAAAATTAGAGAGCTGTTTACATGCTTCCAAGGAGAGCTTGCTAGCTCTTTTCTCTTCCTGACATCTCTAACACAGGATAACATTTTGAAAAATAAGATTCAGTGTGGTCCTATTGACAGTATCATTGGATAGATTTTGAAATAGCCCCTGTAAAAAACATGTTTGCCCCTGTGGACAGGAATGATAGAAAACAATGGCCATTTGTTATGGGTTTTTAATACTGTAGAGATTTGGCACACCAAGTGCATTATATCCTTCCTGTTGCATTTTACTAGTCAATCAGAGCAATTTTATGTTTCACTCCTGCTGTCCAGGAAAAACAACACCAGTATATCTAACATGATAATGCTTAGCGTCTAGCGTGAGATAACATCTAGCCCACTACCTTTGTGTTCTTTTAGATTGTCAGCTGATCTCAACTTTAACTTTATTTTGCCCATCTTGGCACAATTTTAAACAGTGAATGTCTATATGTGCATGTAAGGTATATATGTGCATGGATCCATATATTGTAATGTGAATTATTACAAGAATATATATGTGTGTGTGTATGTATGTGTGTGTGTGTGTGTGTGTATATTCTTGTAATAATTCAGTGCTTTTATATGATTGCATAAAATTATAAAACATCCTACTTGACAGGCCTTTGGTTGCAATAAAATATTATCTACATAACTATTAAAGTAAATTTATATAAGTAAATTAAAATAGGATAAAAATATTCTTGAATGCCTGTATTTATTTGCTTTCAGATCAATATTTGAGCTGTGGGGTCATGGGAAATCTGTAGAAGAACTGCATTCTTCACTGAAGAGTTATCCAATAGAGAAAATGGTTGGTATAAGAAAAAAATCTTGAGTTTTTTTATTTGGTTGTGTTGCACAGCATATGCATTACACCCTAATCAAAACTGTCTTGCTTTATTTTAGGCCCCATATTTACAGTCCAACTTCACCTATAAAATAATAGTCTATGCTTTTAACAAAACACTAACACAAACAGAGAAGATTCAAAGAATGGATGTAAGTAATATTTAAGTTCTTCAGTTGCTTAAATGTCTGTTCTTTTATACTGAGGGAAGTATAATAATAATACAAGTGCATACATTGCAATGTTGATTACTTATAACTTTGGAGAGTTACCATTTTTTTTTCATGTTGTAGACATAAACCACAATTACTTCTGTCCTGTCCTCTAATGCCAGATGTGTACCCAGGTTGTCTTTGTTCAGTGATGCAGGGGGTCACATTGCAAAGCCTTCATATGTTCACAAATTCATTTCATGCCCCCAGTTGTATTCCAAGAGCTATAATCAAGCCTCAGACTAAGCTTCATTAAGTTTTCCTGATATATTCACATTTGTCCTTCAACTGTGAATGGCATATGTACCTGTAACTAATGTTACATTAGGCCATAAGGTACATCAGAGACGAATGACCCTTGGGTCTCATGCGGCTGCCCACCACCCCATTTGTGCTGTCTAGCACTCTGTAACTGCCTGCTAAAAGTTGGTGAGAATATGGCCAAATTTTTGTGTCAAGATTTTGTGTTTTTTTTCTCTTAAGGATGAGCATGAGACTTTTAAACCCTCTGATGATCCCAAATCACTATTTTTTAGAGTTTGGAGGATTTGCTTCTTGGCTGTTTCCTAATCCCATTACCACCCTTAATATAAAACAAAAAAAGGACTGAAGAATTTCATCCTTCTCAGAAGGGAATGTTGGGAAATATAAGTGATGTGAAAGTGCTTTTTATTATCTTTGGGAAGGGATGATGGTATATGATAATACTAGTGAGATTTTTGTATGCCCATAGATGACAAAAACACACAGGTATTTAGGATTGGACATTAATGGTAGTGGTGGAGACAGTGACATAATGTATTGAAATTTAAAAAGGGGGTGTTAGCCTTGTTTCTGTTTGGAAATTGCTTTTGTTTTTCTTTTTTTGCTTGGGATTGTAAAATGCCATGTTGATTTGGGTTTTTGATAATTATTAGATTTTAGGATTAGAAAAGTATTTTGTATTAGTTATATTTTTAGAGTAAAAGATGTAAGTATTCAATATTTGTATCTGCAACAAAGAAAGTCGGAAGTCACCTATTCTTTCTCTCTCTTCTTTTTATTTTTATTTTTTGCACTTTTAATTTTATTTCTTTTTTTCTCAACTTTTCTTGGTTTTTTCTGTTCCCTTATATTTTATTCTTTATTGAAAATTAAAGTTTCTTCTTAAAAAAAAAAAGAATTTCATCCTTTTCCAGGGAGATCACCGGATGTCCTCTAAGATGCCTTCCAACTTTCTGGAAGGTTGCAAAGCTCTGCTTTAGCCTCCCACCTTTGTACACCTATGAAATAATCTCTTCATGAAGCCTGTCAACATTCTTGATTTCTTACCACTTTTGAAGAGTTTAAAAATAGCCCTAAATAGGTGGTTTGGGTGCACAGTTGTCTTAGACGTGACATATTCAGGGTGGGCATCCACAGCCATCCACCTTCTTTATATTTTGCAACTCCCATCCCTCCATCACATTTTCAGAATTCAGCAGGACAATTTTTCAGATTTGTTTAAGGAAATAATTTTATAGAAATAATAGTGTAGTATGGTTCATAATGTAAAAAAAAAAAAAGTCCAAGTAGTTAGCCAAGAATTAGAAGCCAATACTACTTTGTAGTTTAAGTCACAATTAAAATTGATAGTAAGGGGGACAGAATCCAGCAAATAGAAGAGAAGGCAAGATTTGGAATTTGAAGATGATGGGAACAGTGCTCTTAAATAGCTTTCTTGACAGTGCAACGGTGCAGTCCCATTACTTCAGGAACCTTTGAACTGGCTATAGGTGATGTTTGGAGTCTCTAACCTTCTTCTGTCACTGATTATGGTGTCTAGGAGGCCTGATAAAGAGTCTGGCTTTTGTCCTTGGCACACTCGGGTGTCAGGCTCAAGGGTCCTGACAGTAAAAAGCAAATTACAGCTGGGGTCCTCAAACTTTTTAAACAGGGGGCTAGTTCACAGTCCCTCAGAATGTTGGGGGGCCGGACTATAGTTTGAAAAAAACATGAACGAATTCACACAGCCCAAATGGAGAAAGTAATAGGGCGCCCTGGACCCCACCGATCACCCTGTACAGAGGATCCCTCCCACGGAGTATGAGGAGAGGAGGAGAGCCGCTGGACCCGGCATACCTGTCATGTAGAATAGTCTGGCTCTGCGATATCCATCCTTGTGCATCGCCTGCAGCTCCCGACACAGCCCCGACACTTCTGCTTCTGACAGACAGCAGTGGCAGCCAATCAGGCAGGTGGGCCAGATAAATGGCCCTGGCAGACTGTATCCGGCCTGCGGGCCGTACTTTGAGAACCCCTGCTCTACAGTTTTGTTTTTTTAAAAACACTCACAACTCATAGCAAAAGCAACTATATGGCTGATGACCCTCAAAGGATAAAAAAAATAATTTTTAAAAAGTGTATCTTCCAACAGGAATACATAACAGAGCCAATGCATTTTGATTTTAGTAGATCACCAGTGCTATATTTTTTATTTCTATGCTGCCTTATTAAATTTTTTAAAGTAATGCTTTTGGCTTAAGAGTAGTACACATTTTTTGTTTTGGTAGTCGTTATATTTCAATTATTTGCAGTACACCTAGTATTATAAAAGTAAAAAGGAAAACAATATCCACAATATCATACATATAATATTGTTGGTTAATGCATTGTCTCCAACTCCTCTCTCCTTCTCCCCCCCCCTGCAGTCTTTACAGTTTTTACCATTTAAAGGACGTGTAGATTTAAAGAATCCAGATCATATATTTTGGTTTTTAGAAGATCATGGAATTAATCTAGGCAACAGCACAGAACAACCTATTGGCTTGTACTTTGGGAGATGGGTGAGTAATTTATTACATTAATAATGAAATTATCAACTTTTAAAACATCAGTACAATCATGGCAGATTGCAGCTTAGAATGTGAGAGGAATAAAAGATGAAGAGTTTGACGTTACGGATGAAATAAACAAAATAGATATATTGTATGTCTGTAAAACAGAGAAGTGATAAAGATGTAATAAATTCAGCTGAAGGAGGTCTGATCTTGTGGAATGGTTGGATTAACCCCCAGACAGGAAAGTGAAGATGTATGTTTAATTATGAATGAAATGACTAAAACATGTGTCAGAGGTAGAAATTTGTGTCATCTTGGTTTTTATGGATACATAAGAAAGTAGGAATCCATAGGTAGGTGATAATTTCACATGATGCTCCAATGAATGGTGATCATGAAAGAACCAAAAATGAATTTTGGGAAAAACCAAACAACATTCTGAATATATGTGATCTGGGGGGAAATTACTCTGTTGAGTAAGTGGAAATAAGATGAGAGAGAACAGAAAAATTGATTGGGCCCTTTGGAGTCCAAGAATAAATGAGAATTGTGAATCGTGAGTATCTGCTTAGAAGAAGGACTGTTAGTTTAAGGTATGTTATGAAAGTATACATCTATTCTATACACATGGCAGAAGAATGAATCTAAATGTAAAAGCATGACTGAGTTTATTTTTTGCAATGAAAATTTGAGAGAATTAGTTTGGAGCAAAGTGAAAAGAATTATATTAAGGAAGGCTGTAAAGGAATGTGGAGTTAATGGGAAGTATGAAAAAGGATGTTTGATGGTATGATGAAGTGAAAGACACTATGGATGACAAATACATGCCTGTATGTAGTGATTGCTACAAAAAATAAGAGGGAGAAAAAGATACTGTATAAGATGTACAGTGGTACCTCGGGTTACGAACGCCTCTGTTAACGAACTT